GCATGTGGAGAGTACTTGACGTTCAAGAAGCCTCGCAGAGGAAATCATTGCGAGGTCTTGATAATACAGCAGCTGACGGTGCGGATGGTTTTAAGGATTTGTTAAGAATCGTAGATGAGCTAGAGCGTGTGGGGGCAGAAAAGGACTGGTGTGTACGAGCTCGAAAGAGGCTTCACGAAGGCAAGTTATATCTCAAGACTACCTACCGTGACCACTGTAGAGAGGATGGTAGCTGCTGCCCTGATCACTGTAGAGTGTTTGCTTTGAGCGATGTCAGTGACGCTGACTATCAGGAAGCGTGCAGCCATAGTCATGAAATGGCGTGTGGGAACTGTGAGAGCCTGAAAAGTGTTGCGGGGGAAGTAGAAGGTACCATTCCTAACTACGCGACACAACTGGGTAAAGATCAAGCAGGTGACCTTCAATATGAAGCAAACGGTGCCGTCTTTAAAATCTTTGAATGGAAAGCACATGTTCTGCGAGCTCAGAACCAGGATCACGTTAAGCAGCAAATTCTCAACTCTCTAAAGGAAGACGAAGTGTTTATAGTAGTTGATTGGGCTATGAAGTTCGCAGCTATGAAATTTCGGGAGAAGCAGGCAGAGTGGTTTGCCAAGAGGGGAATCAACTGGCATGTGAGCAGTGTCATCATGAGACGGAACGAAAGCCTTGAAGTAACCTGCTACGTTCATCTTCTTAACAGTTGCCGGCAAGACTGGTTTGCAGTACTATCAATCCTGGAGAACCTTCTGTCCACCATAAAGTCGCGAAATCCAGGAATAAAGAAGGCTTACCTAAGATCAGATGAGGCAGGATGTTACCACAATAGCAAGCTGGTGTCGTCCTTCCGAGAGCTCGGATACCGCCAGGAGATTCAGATCGTGAGATACGACCACTCCGAACCTCAATCGGGAAAGGATATGTGTGATAGGATCTTGTGTCCGATTAAAGCATTTATGAGAAGGTACTGTAATGAAGGTTACGATATCGTCTCTGCTCAAGATATGCATACCGCTTTGAAAGAAAGACCGGTCAAGGGGACGGCAGCGACAGTATGTATTGTTCAGGAGCAGTGCACAGCGCTGGAGATAAGCAAGATTCCAAACTACAGCAACCTGCACAACTTCGAATTTACCCAAGAAGGCATACGTAAAAAAAACTTCGAGGCCTAACACGGCGCTTGTTTCTGCATGACTTTACACTATTATTACATAAGGCTCATGGATTTGTAGGATTTCAATGAAACTTGCATTGGACAAGACGTCGGGTATGTTCGGGTCGGGCATGTCATTATTGGGTCACGCACGCAACCCTAGGCGAGCGATATCCACACCAAACTCGTCCAAAAAAAAATTGCTCAAAACAAACGTCGTAAATTCGTTTTGGTTTTTTTGGGGGGGGAGGGGGTCTTAGTTTTCGAGGTCTTAGTTTTCGAGGGGTCTTAGTTTTCGAGGTCTTAGTTTTCGAGGTCTTAGGTCTTAGGTCTTAGGTCTTAGTTTTCGAGACACCCTGCACAAAACGGTTGTTTTTCGCTCAGGCGGGCACTATCGATCCGGGTTTTTTGCCCGACGGGCACTATTACCTGACAGTGTCTCTCCGCGGATGAACACTATCACGTCACGTGTTCGATTTAAGCCAATCAGAATCAAAGAAAATTTAGTGGTGAACTATAACACATCATAGAAATCTCGAGCTCATAATCTAATAGCCCTTTTCACGGTTAACTTGCGATATTTGCATAACAATACACTTGAACATAGAAGCGAGGCAATTTCGGGCACAAGCTGCAAAACATCGTGTTTTTCTTGAGCTCCTTCAACTCTTTTAGTATAAAAACAGTTTTAAAATGTAGAAGAACTACAATTCTTTTAGTTTACGTTGTTTTTAGAAAAAAATGTAAAACTACTTTTCTCTATTAATAAAGAGTAGACTCGCATAAGCAACAGGGAGATCGGATTACGATCTTTACAGCAAACTTTAACTAAAATAGGTGCATATTTAGTTCTTCTCCGTTTTAAAACTATTTTTATGCTAACATAGTTTAAGGAGCTCAAGAAAATCACGATGTTTTACAGCTTGTGCCCGAAATTGCCTCGCTTCTATGTTTAGCTGTATTGTTATGCAAATATTTCAGGTTAACCGTGAAAAGGGCTATTGTTAAATAACATGACTATCATCCCTGATAAACTGTTTTACCCTTTATATCAACCTATATGGCCATGTTAGGGTAAAAATAGGTTCGCAGTGTGCGTACGTGTGTGGGTTTATGGTTATTTCCATTCGCCATTTCTTGTATAATTCGTATCAGAAAAGTACTTATACAGTCGAACCTCCACTAACGGCCACCTCTCCACAACGGCCAGGATTTTTCGTCCCAATCGTACGTCTATCCATACTTTTCACTCTTATTGAAACCTCCCTGCAACGGCCACCTCTCTACAACGGCCAGTTAATTCCGCCCCAGGGTGGCCGTTGTGGAGAGGTTCAACTGTAGTATGTCTATTGCAGTGTATTTTGTTGGCAGCTGTAAGAAAATAACACTCCCAAAACACGGCAACGATATTGCGCACACCAAAATAAAAATCGCATAACTTAAGGCCCTGTTACACGAGGCAATTTTCTTTGCAACTTGCAACGCAACGATGACAAATGAAAAACATTGCAAGTTGAGGGGGTGTCACACGTTCGCAATTTTTTTTCGCAACTTGAATTGGAACACGGCTTTCTCCGGCCGCCATCTTGAAATCTCCCGCGAGCGAAGGACGCGCTCTGATTGGTTCATTTTAACAAAATTGCGTTGCAAGTTGCTATCGACGTGTCACACGCAGCAACTTATCTCGCAATGTTGCGAAAAGTAGAGAATAGTTCTACTTCTCTTGCAACACGCGACGCAACATTTTTGTTGCATTGCAGGTTGCAAAAATGGGGTGTTAAACGTGAATTTTTTTTTAGTAGCCTGAGATCAGGCTCCTGAAGAAAATTTGCGAGCGAAGCTGCCTGGGGCGAGAACGAAAGCGACGGAGCCTGAAGACATTCCTTTGACGCCGCCGATCCATGATACCAGATTCTGGTATCATGATCTGATTGGTCATTTTGCTTAATATTGACAGATTCGCGGTGAATGATGACAGATGTTGACAACACAATGTCACGCGTTGTTTGTTGAAGTTGAATACAGGACGGAATTTATTCTTTGCCATCAGATCTTTCAGATATCCCTCGGCTCAAGGAAGAGCAAAAGATATGCCTAGAATCTGTGGCAAAAGAGCGCGATGTAATTCTCCCGACTGGTTTTGGCAAGAGTTTAACCGTCGCTTTCGTTCTGCAGCGACTCGCTTCGCTCGCAAATTTTCTTCAGGAGCCTGATCTCAGGCTATTTTTTTAGCAAATGGCAATGCAAGTTTGTTGCGTTGCAAGTTGCAAGGAAAATTGCCTCGTGTAACATGGCCTTTACCAAACTATTCTTCTCTTTAAAAATAAAACTTATGCACATCGCAAGGGTAGCCGGGCAATTTAGCAGAGAAGTTTTTCTCCAGAAAGTGATTTACAGCGCGAGCTTACGTTTGCAATTTGATGAAAGTGATTGAACGTCAAACTAATCTTGAGACAATGGAAACCAAATCTAGCTCTCTTGTGCATTTAACAAAATAACACACGCAACACATGGCCACTGTGCGAAGCCGAGAATGTTTTGTCGGTGATAAGTATAGGTAATCGCATGGGGCCGAGTAAAATTAAGGATTAATATCACTTGTGTTTTCAGAAGTTGCAGAAATTGCCCGAGTCGCACAGCGACAAGGGCAATTTCTGCAACTTCTGAAAACACAAGTGATATTAATCCTTAATTTTACGAGGAAACATGCGATTACTTGTTTATGACAGAGGGCAAAATTTTCGGAAAACCTTCAAGGCGCCGCGAAGCTAAATACAGCCGGCGGAACGAAAATATTCCTTCCAAAAATCACACAGAATCGCAGCAAGATCAAGCAAACCCTTACGTTCAGAACAGGGTGACGTTGACTGTTATGTAAATCTTAAGAGAAAAATGCAAGTCGTGAAAATAAAAAAATAACAAGCTTACACTCAAGCCAAGTAAAACGTAATTTTATTCACCTGTTTGCATATTTTGAAGCTTTCCGCTGCGAGCTGCTTGACATGTCAATCCATCGATAAAACAGCAAACGATGACTCCAAACAAACTTGTAGAGGTAATTTCTCCGGTTTAATTTGACTTTCTTCTTTCTTTGAACAAACTCTTTGATCTTTTATACTCTGGGTTGCACATGATGAAGCCCGATTTAAAACAGAGGTGAAACGAAGAAGTCAGTTGACAGCCATGAATGAATTTCGTCGCAAACTCGCCAAGTGTCTAGCTGATACAAGTTTTCTAGTTTTCAACTGAAATAATCTTCTGTTGTTTCGAGTGAAACCATGAGATTCAGCTTTCGGAATTTCGTTTCAAGCTATCACCCGGTTTCCGTTCCTTTTTCATCAAATAACTCGGAAAACTGAAGTCAAACTCCGAAGCGACGTACAAGCGAGCGCTGTGTTTGAAAATTCTGCTCAAAATCCCGCCGTCAAGAAGCCACTGAACTAAGTGCAGCGCGCTCAGCCAATTAGGAGCGGGTAATTTGGCCGCTCGTCCAATCAGGATCAAGTAATTTTGCCCCGGGCAAACCAAAATTAATGAAAAATGCCCCCTGTCTCAGCCAATCAGCATTCAGTAATTTTGCCCTCTATACTTGTACCCATGCCTCTTGCAAATCATGTGTTGGCCAGGGTACTTCACGCAGTTTCTTCCAAACCCATACCCAATTCCAGACGAGAATGTACAAAATACAACCATTTCAGACCAAATTGGTCAAAATCTGTGCCCTATTTCAGACGAAAACGGCTCGACCATACCCTCTGGCGCCGTACATGCCCATATACCCCTCCTGAGGGGGAGGTTGCTGTTAACAACGTATTGACCAGCAAAAAAGAGTAACATCTGGTAAGATGACCCCGTGGCGCAATGGTAGCGCGTCTGACTCCAGATCAGAAGGCTACGTGTTCGAATCACGTCGGGGTCATTGTAATTTACTTTTGGATTCATAAATCAGCCCAACATGGCATAGATTCAAATCGTTATGTCTGGTAAGTAGCTCTAGTGAGTATACCCGTTTCGTTTCATAAAATTTGCGGACAACCGTCACTAATTTGTTTTACTGCCCTTGTGACAGAGGGCTGGGAATTAACAATGCCTGGGGAGTAGGGAACAGACAGGACGGACTCTTCTGTACCAGAAACGCCTGGAACAGGCTTGGGGAGGAGAGAAAGGGAAGCCCGGCCGCAGACCGGTCCGAACAATTTCCCAACATTGCCAAAGATGCTAAGGAAGATCCAATCTAGTTTTTATCAAAACTAAAATAAGAAAATGCATTGCCGTCCATTACCGTATCATTCTCAGAATTATTGGAAAGGCCCGATAACTCCGCGACGACATCAATAACACGGCGATAATTTTTTCGACTTGTCGACCAGCGAAATGTACTTCGAGATTCTCGGGAAAACGCCTAGTGCCTAGGGACGACCCTAGGGACGAGGACACGACAGCGAAGCGTTCCCGCCTTTATTGATAACTGAAAAAATAAAACCTTGTAATTCCGGCTCCCAACTTCTGTCACAAGGGATACAGTCAAACCTCTATTAAGCGGCCCTCTGTCAAGAAGCGGACACAGTCACCGTTTAGACCTTCCAATTGGCTAATTTTATTGTATTTCACCTCTATTAAACGGCCACCTAGTTAGATTACAATGCGATATTTTGACACCACGATAAGCGAAGCATGTCCAGTTCCTTCACACATAATAATACTAATAGGCTTGTGTGGGTAAATTTTAAATTGAACATTGTAAATTCTAGAAGGTCAGTTGGCTATTTCCCGAGGGTGACCGCTTGATAGAGGTTTGCAAGCGAACACGAAGTCACGTGACACACCAAAATTAATATGGGCATGGTTCGAAACATTTTTCAAAAGGAACGTGAATCGAACAAACACTACAAACGTTGATGCCCACTGGAGTCCAGGAACCAACGTTATGGAGGTTTGGAGATTTCCTTAGCAACAGCCTTGTGGTTCCTTGTAGTTTAGGTTCTCCCCCCTTAACTGTATCAACGTCCACTTGCCATATTTGGTAAAAAGGGTTTAATCGCCGATAACCGTAGAGTGTTAGCTGATTTTAATATTTTAAAATATCACAGAGGATGGATTATAAAGCTTTTATTACAGTACAATGTACACAAAACCAGCTTGAACTAATCAGAATGACATCATCAGGGAACTGCAACATAACCGGATGTAAGGTGTGGTACAATGGAGATTCCATGTCAGTTTCATAAAGCACATGTTTTCTTCCACTTGGCTTGATAAAACACACTGAAATGTACAAAATTAACTTATAAGTTTTGAGTAGAGTACCTTAATTATTCTTACTAATTTCACGATTTCACGGAAAAATGGACTTAGAACTATTACTAGTAAATTTCACTAAAATGTCATCAAACTCTAGTCACAGTCACTGGCCCTCGCTCACCATTCAAAACATTTGTCAGTCAATTGAGAAAGCAACAGTACTTGGAATAAAACAAGTTATAAAACACTTGATAAGTCAGGAGCTCATTACCCATCCATTACCATTACGTTATCAACAACAAAACTTTATTTGTACCCGGTGAAAATATAATAATAATGGTAAATTCATCAAACTGGTTTACATATTTGCCGTGTGGGAGTCTTATACAGAGTGACATTGATGCCTCTTTTAAAGAGGCCCAAGGAATTAGCTGCTCTTAGTTCCTCGGGTAGATTGTTCCAAAGGAAAGTACCACTACAGCTAAAGATACGCTTGAGGAAATCAGTTCTTGGCATGCGATGACAAAATATGCAAGTGGCAAATCCACGAAAACGAGAGGAATGGGGCAGAGAACTCCCTCCAAGTCCCAACCAAGTGAGTTAAAGGGACACTGTCCCGGCGTATTTGCTAAAAACTGTTATAAATGCACGAAATGGTCCCTAAATCTATGAAATAAGAACTGAATAAACTCTAACTAAATGATAAAAAGCAATTTCTTCAAGAAATTCCATACTGCAACAAAATTTTTGCAAAATTTCAAAGATTTCCGAGCCAAATTTGAAACTTTGAAAAACTGACATCCTGACATTTTTTCAAAAATCCATATTGCAATCCATTTCCATCCTCGCCATCGTTAGTCGTCCTCGCTTCCTAATGGGTTCCTGTCATTTGTCGAGTGCTATTCTACAGAATTAAACCATTATTGTTCAACTTCCTATGATCTAGATATGTTTCTGAGCTTCCCAAAATCATGCTAAAATCAGGACAGTGTCCCTTTAAGTGGATATCTAGAACTCATGTCATAACTTGATTAAATAGTAATTACTCTGACAGCACGATTTTGTAGTTTCTGAAGTTTCTCGCTATCCATTTCAGACCAAAATATGTGATTTACCCACCCTATTTCTGACCTGCCCTATACACATATACAGTATACTTAACAATAATTTATCCTGTGAAATCGCGCAGAATATCGCCTAATACTTAGCCGACTAGGCCGTAGGCCGAGTTGGCTAAAATCAGGCGATATTCGGCAAGATTGAGCAGGATAAATTGTTTTATTATTCAACAAATTGATAACACAAGTTAACTGAAAAAAATACTCTTCCACTTTTATTTCAAGAACTGACTTGAACATTTTACCGCACGCATACAAAATTAATATATCGCAGAATATCTGTTGAGTACCGCCGACAGATATTGAGTGCTTTATGACCATATTTGGACAGTGTTACAATTTGTTGAATATATATAATCTCAGCCACCCAGGAACTGCTTCCATTTCCCTAAACATTTGAGAAGGGTTTAAATTCCTGATGTTAATCAAACCGCACTTCTTAAGAGAATAATAATAATAAATTAGTTTCTTCTACAGTCCGACTACTGTAACCGGAGCTACCCAGACAATGTTAACCAATCACAGGGAAGAATGGAAACAATACATTCCAACATTTTCGATTTAATGAGCCAATCAAATGTCGAGTACAGAACAATGGAATGTTAACTTCTTCACTCGTGAAGCGGCATTGACTTTTTTGCAATTACAACATTTGAGTACCGTGGCTGTACATGCCAGTGAGTGAGAAATTTCAAACTGTATGAAAGCTGAACGTGACGCCGTACATTTCGGAAAAGTGTGTACTCTGCTCTGACAGTGCGATTTTGTAGCGCTTAGTTGCTCACATAGGCCATCTCAAACAGCACTGCAATAATCAAAGTGTGGTTCAATAAATATTTTTATTAGACCTTTGTAGATTTTAATTGCACTGAGTATTCGTGGAAATAAGTGGCCTGATCAGCTTTAGCACAAGATTATTTTAGAGATAACAGGTATTCACTATGTGCTCGTTCCATGACAGGTTTTCATCAATGTACAAGTCATGTAGAGTCCAAGAGATTTGGTATGATAAGTTTGATTTACTTGAAAGCCGTCTACATTGATACTGATTGTAGAATCGTTTAAAGATTGTAACTTCTGCTGCGAGCTAAAGATCATAAACTCAGTTTTAACAATGTTAACCTATTTAATTAGCCTTGAGCCAGAGGTTGATGAGTTTAAATTCACGGTTAATTAAGTCTCAAGATCAACCAGGCTAGAGACAGTGAAAGTAACATTTGTATCATCGGCATTAAAGAGAGTAGGGGATCAATATATATTATATTATTGAGCACCTGGACTCCAAAGGTTAAAGGGCTCCTCACACCAGACAGGTGATTATTTATGTTGCATCTTTGCATATGATTAGTTAAAGTTGACTCAAACCAAGTCGGGGCATTTCAATCAACCCCATATTTAGCAAGCTTTTGCAATATTTAACAAATAAAGAAGCCAAAGTAATGTATTATACTGTCATAAAACACGACGGGAATTTGAGAACACTTGAGAAATTTAGAAAACACGAGCCGCAGGCAAGTGTTTTCTATATTTCTCAAGTTTTCTCAAATAACCGGAGTGTTAATGACAGTACAATTACATGGCTTTGGCTTCTTTATGTGCTTTAAAATACAGATTTACGTGCGTGAAACGATAAAACACAGCTTTTCTGTGTTTTATACTCTGATAAAACATGGTTTTTAACCAATCAGAGTGCGTGCAGCTTTCAGTCTATATTTTAAAATCTTTTATGAAATAAACTAGCAATAATCAAAGATTAGTAAAGTGCGTTCGACAGGATATTTTGTGTGAGAAAGGCAAGTTGGGAGTTATGACAAACTAGGGTAGTATGAAAAAATTCAGATAGAATTGTGGTGTGCAGTTCTTGATGAGTGAAGTAAAATCAGTCTGTTCATTTGTAATCAAACGTTTCTTTATTGAGAACAATAATCATTCAAGAACAATGGTGATAATATTACACAACTCAGAAAGTCTGTGAGTTATATATTATCTGGCCAGAAATCATGCACATGTTGCTCATTGGGCGCTGAGTATAATGACTCAATTCGTATTTTGATTCAGCCCGACAGACACGACAGTGTGGCTGTTCTTTCATCGAAGGTGGGCATGATGACAACACATCGGCGAAATGCGGCTGTAGATATGCACCAGAAGTCATACACACTTCCCTAAGACTCCGATAAATGCTGGGCGTCCAAAATAACTCTCAAGCCAGCAATTCAAAGGTCAAGATGTGAAAAATACTAATTTTCTCCAAAAAGTAGGCGTCCAGGGAACGCCTGGATGCCAATCTGGCTAAGTACAAGGTTTCTGAATCATATGTCTGATTCAAAAGTTTATTGAGACTTACTGAAGGTCGGAAATTCCAGATCATTATATTGAAGCAACCACATTTAGCCCAAACGCTGATGTGGCACGCACGAGTGGAAACATAGAAAATTGTTTCGTGCTTTTATCGCCTGCTGCTCGTGTTTCCACAGCATTTCTCTTTCTCCCAAACTCGTATTACCATAACTCTATGGAAACACGGAACACGTTTTCTATTTGGTATATGGGCCCGGTT